AAGGTGGAAAACATGTCCGACATTGAAAGTTATTTTCGCGTGACCGTGCCGGATGTAACCATTTCGCCTAAAATGGAACCTGTCGGAATTGCACTCGACGTTCGAACCAGTTGGCAACCAGTTGGACTACCTGTCCCATTAGAACAAGCCTCGTTAATATACCCTGACCCGTTATACAGAGTGAGCCATGCTCTGATACTGTCAGTCATTTCCATAGCGGAGACCGAACCTCTACACCGGAACGATTTGAAAAGTCTTTTCTCTCACCAGCCTGAGAATGCGATTTAATGTTGTATATATAGTTCTCCGTTGAAGTTTGGTCCATCTTACTATATTTCTCATGGAGCCACTAATTGCACTCGCCTGTATAGGCCTACAAATTCTATGCCTCGCTATACATCCAACCGTAGCCATGCGTATCACCACCTGGAATCTTCGCTTTGACTCTATGCCAGACAATATTACTGTACAACAGACTCTTGACTCTCTCCAGGACCCGCTTCTGCAACCTACGTTCCTGACACTTACCGAGGAACAACCTTGGAGCACAAGGCGTATTAAAGTCGCAGAACAGCTTCTCAGCTCAGGAATATCATTAGCAAGCAAGTAGTTTATTCAAGGAATGCTCTTGAGTCCCTGTGATGATGATATCCATTGCATAGGCTTCCAAGAAGCGTTGGTCAGACAAGTCCAGGACCTGGCTGAACTGTTTGGACCGGAATGGTCCTGGGTTAGCTGCAACAGAAAATCATTGGAAAAGATAGATTTATACGTTCCGTATTTGATAGATTGGTGTCGGCCGTGACGATGGTGTTGCTGCCGGTGAATTCAGTCCGATTTTTTTCAAGAAGTATTTTGCTTCTGTGTGAGAAATTCACGTATCCTTACTCTCTTCCAGTACGAAAGTTAAACTTCTTTCGAATGATTCATTTTGGTTATCGTAGGTGGTTGATCACCTGCATTCTCTTCTACATTACCCCCATTGGTAGGAATACTCCCTTTGAGCCATCCAAATTTCCTGGCGCAGGGTCTGTCCGTATCTGTACTGCCGCACATTTCTCCACGTTATCCAGCAATGGTGAAGAAAAGAATTTCACGCTACTCAATACCCACCTCGATGATCAATCCGACGCTCAACGAAGGCTTGGTGCATCCATGCTTCTGACTCGTGCTCGCTTTGAGGCTGTAAACACAAACAACCCGGTTTTCATCACAGGCGATTTTAATAGGTATGGTATACGTACTGAGGATCCTCTGCACCAACTCATAGTAAACCGCAGTGCTGCCATGGGCTCGGACCCGCGGGCGTACAATATCATCACTGGTGTTATACCTCCAGTTGCCATCAACGCCACCTTCGCGGCCAAGTATCACGTTGACGATGACCAATTGCCTAGCTTCACTATGCTCGATCTACGTGGACAGGCACCACGACGCAGTGTATCTACAAACTTTGCGACGTTCACTGGGTTCACAGCTCCAAATGATACCACGCAATGGACAAGAATCGACTTTATCTTCGGCGGAAGCAACGGCAAATGGCAGGTTCAATCCTCTCTCCTAGGCCCATGCTGACTGAGAATTAGGACGGCACAAGGCTATAACACAGGGACATCTCTCTCAGACACTGGACTCCTTGCAAGTGACCATCGCCCAAGCTTCGTTGACATTTCGATTTGAACAATACGCGACCATAATCTTTCCTATACCTTTCCTTTGTAGTTAAAGAGGAGATGTTTCCTTTTCTAACCATTTCAAAGCTCTTTCGTCATTCTCGAGAAGCGGCGCTACTTTCTCCCATGTCTGAGCGTGGTAAGCATCCAGCCACTTCTGCTCATCCACAGTAAGCAGGCTCGTGTCGATCAGCTTCTTAGAGATGGGGCACCTGAAAACTTTTGGATAAAGACGCTGAATACGGAGTCATATATAACACTGACATGGTGACGACTTCAAAGCCAAGATAGCCCTTATCCCCGAAGTTGTTAGGTGTCTTGGCATCACGTACGAGGACGATGCTTTCGATGCGGATGCCAAAACGGCCATCGGCATAGTAACCCGGCTCGTTTGAGACAGTCATGCCTGCTTTGAGAGGCGTATTGTTATATGCTGCAGATATCGTGAGCTATTCCTTACGACCCTGACGTTAGGATTTCTACCAATCCGGACACCAAGACCATGAGGACCTTCGTGAACGTTGAGATAATGGCCTACACCATGGCCAGTACCGTGACTGGACAACTATTAATAGACAAATAGAAGAATGCTAGTCTGGCATACCGATAGTCTGGAATCATCAACCATATTAGAATCTGTCAAGAGATGAGAGAAGGGAAGACATGCCGAGTCCATCTTGCCACAGTGCTCTGCGGGCCCACGCGTCACTGATAGGAAGATCAGTCAGTGTCAAAAAGGCTTAACGTGAAAACAACATTAGATAGCCTGATTCAAGTCACTAAACAAGTTCAACGAGGACATGGAACGACCAACCTGTGGTTCCTGAGGGGAAGATCGCTGTATCGATCGCAATATGTCCCTGAAGAACCCGAGTAAAGGCCCGCTTTTCCTCGTCTGTGGGAGTGCCGAAATGCCAGGTTCTCGTGACATCCGTGGTGCCATCAAAGAACTGAGCTGTGGAGACCATATGACCTCTGAACGGAGAGAATGGTCCGTCTACTTGCCTCCGGAATCACATAGGTATATCTGGTATAGGGGTTTAGACAACAATATGATGATGTGGATAAAGATTCGACCTGATCTTTCTTAATAACAGCACAATCCAATGGGTCAGGCTTGTAGTGAATGATAGCTGAGAACGAGTCACAACAGTAGATCGACAAGAAATTTGCTGAATTCCTTACCTGCATTTGGCCCGGTTGATGAGATCGTATCAAATGATAGACCACGGAACAAGCTTAACTCCCTACACTCAGACCGTCAGAGTCTGATAATTGATAATTAGAATTGCACGCTCACGATCTCAATGCCTCCAGCTTATCGGCACCCTGGCTCTCATTGATTTCGACCCCATTGTTGAGTTGCTCCTCAAGCCAGGCAAAGTACCGCGCCAAAGCTGCGCCGTCGCGGATATGCGACTGACGGAAGCCTTCCAACTCAGTCGCATTCTTAATGGCTTTCATCTCGGCGATAGGGGATGGTGCAATGACGTATTTGTCCTGGTCCAGTCAGAAAGAGAATCTTGCAACTGTCACTAACTCACCTTGCCCAAGGCCTGAGCGATTGCGTGACTGGCATTTTCACCGATAAGAACTTTCTACGCTCTGTGAAAACGGGATTTTAAATGGCAACCAAGAGGCGTACCGCTTCTTCGTCAAGCGTCAGGACGGTCGGGAGCTCCTGGAGGTAACCGAAGAATGCGTCGTATGGTTGGACCTTGATATCATCTCCAAGGTGTTTGAGAGCGTCATCGCTGAGTTGAGTCCTCTCGACGAACAAGTTGACCGAGTCAGCTGTGATTACAGCATAGGCGAAGAACACTACATTCGTATAAATCCAACCATTCCTAAGCATCAAAGCGACTTGTCCCTACCAGGATTGTATTCGATATCAGAGCCACGGAGATTGAACAACCATGCAATTTCGTCGAGCATGTTAACAATGAATGCCTGATACTTTTTCTTTGCCAGTTCTTCCCTGAGTGCCCTGATTTTATGACCGAGTGATCGACCAGCATACTTCTCATCGAGGTGGATGATTGAATTATGAGGCCGAGCAGGGCGGTCGCTCCAAACAAGATCGACGAGATTCTGGTCTATGGAAACCAATGTGGATTTTTTGGGTCCTAGAGCCTTCGAAATGGTGTCGGCGTTTGCTGTGATGAACGTTAGATATTGAACGCCCGGAGAATAATGTCTTCCTCACATGCGGATATAAGTGTAGGGTCAATGCCTATCCGCGTTGAAGATTCAAGATTCTGACAAGTGAATGCATAATATTCAATAGGTCGACTTCCTGACATGTTTGTAAAACCCTGATTACCTTCGAAAGAAACTCTGGCCATGTGGGAACATCTGCGTCCAATCAGCCGTATTATCAGTGTACCATGAGAACCATGACCGACTGACTGACCTGGTAAACCTTGCTTCATCAACGTCCAATTTCTGCGCGCCTCACAATCAGCGACCATATAGGAAAAACCACACAACTGACTGATCCATTTCTTTCACTGCCTGCAGGAAGTATCGGCCATCTGTGAACATAAAAGCCTCTTTCGACGTGATGACGGCACATCCTTCGTCGAGAATTCAGACCCGAGCTAGAAAGCTTGAGGAAACATCTACTCACCAGCAGATCCGCTGAACCCAGAGATGAATGCTCGCCTCTTGTCACAATCCGCGAGGTACTCGCTGGAGTCTATGATGACCTCGTCAATTTCCACCATGCGAGCTTATCAGTACAAATTCACGTTGGTCCTCGCTAGGAACGACATAAGCTTGGATGTCGTGCTCCTGAGCCATGAGCTGGCGTAGTGCAGCTAGCCGTTTAGTTGTGTCGACTGTTCCATTCGTCACTGCTGCCATTGTGGTGAAGGTTGATTTGCTCCGGAATGTGCGAGATGGATAGGAAAGGAAAAAGTGTCGATATTGCGGGCACACATGACGGAATAACATGAGCCAAATGAGCCGGACCGTTTCCGGATATGTGGCAAAGACCCGGGCTCATCTTGCAACTGTCTATGCAACGCCCGCACGGATCACACGCGTCGGGCTACCTGGTCCACGACGCCCCCGTCCGAATCTGCAGTAAGCCCACATCTTTAATGTTTGGCTATTTGAATGTGAGAACCAATCTTCACAAAAGTACAAAGGCCATGGCGATAAGTTGTTCTTGTCGATGAATTGAATCATTCAAACGTTTTCGAGCGTTCTCTGTATACACAAGTTTTCTATATGCCCTATGTAATATGTATATGTAGAATCCAAGTCGTCCTGAGAGTTGAAGTCAGCGTTGTCTACTATCCATACAATTACATCATAACAAGTGGTTCAATGGTCTAGTGGTTATGATTTCTGTCTCACATTGGGCCTAGCTGGTACCATGGTCACAGAAGGTCTCCAGTTCGATCCTGGATTGAACCAATTTTTGACTCTCTTTTGGCAAGCTTAAATCATCAACATTACGAAACAGGTAGTTGCCCAAGTGTTTCCAATTTCATTCCAAACTCGGCCCGGGCCCAAAGCCAAACAGCATGATTTTTACAGTGCATTACGACAAATCGAGGATACATTTTCAAAGGATACGTCCCCTTTCTAGCTCATTAACCGCGTGTCATACTGTAAGTCCATCTCTGCTGAGTCCGGGTATCTATAGTCACAACAGCACATCATGGTCGTGCTATCCGGACATCCGTCGACGCCGAACGACTTGGAATGGGCGAGTGACTCTGGCTACGAGACCCGCTCTGCCTGCCTTTCCCATTAAGCTCCTGCTTCGGTTCATCCTTCCTTAACCGAGTTCGTTCATCAGCATTCTCATCATAGTCGTCATCCGACTCCTCTTCCCTGAGCTGCTCCAGCCCCACTGCCTCCGACGGGTCTTCGTGCTCAGCGAACGCATTGAAAAGTGTCGCCGATTGGTTGCGATAATGTGACCCTCTGCGGGAGTGGCCCCTTGTGAGAGGCGGGGGACCGACGCGAGTATCGCCGTTCCATCCGTCGAGTGACAAGCGACCTTGCAAGCTTAACCGTGGGTTCATCAGGCCGGCTTCAAGTGCCGAGTGCTCTCCCAGAGCAGGTTCGGCCGCTCGTGACAGGTTGAGTATGTGCACACCGAGAAAGGTAACAGCGAATCCGCAGAGAAGAGAAACTGTATTAGTAGCGTTGTTGGTGTTAAAGCCTTGAAAGAGGATGAGGGAGGCCGTGATGGTAGCTGATGTGAAGCCGACAAAGTACATGGGATTCACACTGCGTTGAAATCAGTCAAGGGATGCCAGAGTCCTGGAGACTTACACATTCGTGGAGAAGGTGTCAAGTGCCTTGTTGAAGTAATTCATCTGGACGAGGATGCATAGCACGACAAATATTCCCAACACATATGTACTGAAATGTGTGAACTGGTTTTTGCCGCCAAAGGTGAGTTTCACCGCGACACCAAAGCCTTTGATAGCCATGACGGATACTGAACCGACGAGAGAGCAGATGGAGATATAAATGAGCGGATTCGACCGTCCGTATTTGGGCGCGACAGCGTATATCATGATGAGAGTGAACACAAGAACGGTTAGACAGTACAATAGAAATCCTGTACGGAACGTTTCTAGCTCGATATAACATATACAATAGAGTATACAACAACGCACCTGGTCGCAAAACATAGGTTAAATACTCATCCACTGTTTGAATATCCTTATCCTCTGGCGCATGAAGAACGATGATGAGGGAACCAATGAAACACAATGTACATCCTAGCCGACCAAGGTGACCAAGTTCCTCATTCAGGAAAAAAGACGCGAGGACAGCGCTGGCCCAGGAGTCAGCTGAAAATTAAAGGTGTCGATGGGATGGCGTACCCAATTAATACACTGAGCGCTCCCAATGGTGTTACAAGTATTGGTGGGGCAAACGCATACGCCGCAAAGTTTGCAACTGCAAGACTCCATTATATCCCAGCTTCAATGATATCGAAGCCCAGCATACCTTCTCCGATAACCACTGAAGAAGACGCAGCATCAACTTTGGCAGTTCGAATGGAACGACAGGGTCACATACTAGTCGACAAACCCGCCCACCATATTGGATTCTTCAGATATGACAAGTTGTCTGTCGCAGATTGGGCACCATATTGCGCGTTTCGTCTCGCGGTGTCATTGAGGCCCTATAGAGAAGAACGGATGAGCTCGTTCAACAAATTAACTATCATGATCACCTTTTTGGTGATAATGAAGCTTGTGCCAATTAAAACAGATCCAGACACAGCGAGGGCAATACCGATATATTTGTCATCGACCATGAAGAGAGAACTTTACAAAGAGAGTGGCCTTGAGGCCAAAAATATTCGAAAACTGAGAGACCAGGGCCGTGCAAGTCACTGCTTTCCGGGAGGCGACTTTCGTGGCATGATTGTCCCACGTGCTTGCTATAAATTGTTTTGCCAAATTGAGAACAAACTGGGATACTTCAGCTTTTTTAAAGTCTCCTTCACTAGCCTTGCTTGGTCATCAATCACACTACAATAGCGAGAAATGGATGGTCAAGATCGCCGGTACCAATGAAGACAATTATGATAATATGATTATCAAATAAGTGGAAGGTATGTATATGTGCAAAGATGGAACCCCTGCGGATATCCGATCAATGGAGGAGGTATGTAGGTGGTTGGAATCCAAGAATCAAGATCATTGACAATGATGAGGTATAAGAAAGACCAAAGGAGTTGTGGGGAAGCAAGAGGAGGGGGCGCGACATTTTTAATAGTTGCAATCTTAAAGGTTGGTGTCTTCGGCTTGAGGAATTTTTTTGCATCTCAATTTAATGTATAGGTACATCTTCTGCATTGGGTGCCACGGGTATACCACATGGAACGTTGATGTAGAGGATGCCATTCTCTATTGACGCCTCGACGTCTTTACGCTAAGGAACAAACACAAAAAAGAAAAAAAACAATTAAAAACTCAGACTAAGACAGATGCGCCAGAGGAAAGCGCACGTTGGTTTCGGCGGGAACAGCAAACGTCCTCGCGAACTCGCCGAACCTCCGCTCTCTTGTAGTAGTAAGCTCTAGCATCATCCCGTCTGCAGACTCTGCTGCAGACAGCGGCGGGAACACAGGCCGCGAGACGCCAGACACAGTGATCTGCTTTACACGGTTCCAGGAGCACGTCGAGAGCGTCACTCTTACGTCGGCTTTGCTTACGCCTGGAACTTCGAGCATGACTCTGAGTTTCTTAGCCTCGGGATCATACCAAGAGTCTGAGCGGAGCATCCACTTGTGGCGGGGCACACGGTCACTTCTGTCTCTTGAAGATGGGATCAGCATAGTATCATCTGGCGAGCTGCAAGAACAAGAACTTTAGCGCCTAAGAAAACATCGAGGAACCATTTACTTAATTGCTGAGCCATAACCAGCGAGACGGCTGATTGTGCTGGCTGGTGAAGGTATGACTGGCGAAGGCATTGCTGTCAATGGGACAACGGGAGAATGCAATCCAGAGGAAGACGCCTGCGCTAATGGCTGCACACTTGAAAATCTGACCATGGGCTGCTGACGTGACGGTGGCGCTGAACTCAGAGCACTAGGTGGGCGCCTTCCATATGGATGCGCTTGTTGCTGTTGAATAATATGCGACGAGCGCGTCTGTCTCGTGGGGCCGACTGTTGAAGTCGACGCCATGCTAGTGCTTGACTGTGTCTCGAGATTGGGTCGATGCCCAGCTTGCCTCAAACTCTCACGACGGACTTCATGGTTATCCCTCTGAGGAACATGATGGAGACAAATTGGAGTGTCATCATAGGCAGAGAGACGCTGAGGGGGTATGACACGGGACGGTGGATCTTCACACTGCAGCGTTGAATTTTGTTGTAGTGTGAGTGGAGATGGCGGGGCTGGTTGGTCAGGCGAGTGTGAGGGCTGTTCAACTTGCTGAAGATGTTGCTGTTGCTGTTGTGGGGCTTGAACTTGAGTCTGTGCTTGTTCATTCTGAATTGTCTCCCAAGTACGAAAAGCGAGGGGGGTTGTTGGATGGGAAAGGTCTTCTTCAGGATATTGGTTGTATGGATATGCCATTAGGAAAACCCGTTTAACGTTGTCAATCATGGTCTAATTTATAGGGCGGGCCGCCGAGTCATCGCTGCGCCTCCGAATTCGTCAAACAAGTGCCATGAGGCAGGCAGGACCCCGCAAATGGCAGTTTGACGGGGGCCCTGCACAGCATCCGTCGGGATTCGTCGGTTCACATGATACGATCCTTGTACAGACCGTACCAAGCTACATACATACTACACAATGTCCTAGTCTATAAACATACTCTATTCCAACATTAGTATAGTACAGTAACGTCTCTGCTTTGACTTGAGTTCCAATTTCGACAAGAAGTTTACAAAAATCGCTTCGAGTCCGGACCTGCTTTAATTTACGAGTCAGTAGTTCCGTTGATCGCGCCAGGCGCCTGCGGTGTCGGAGCAATGCTACTTCTACGACTGCGCGGCACCAACGTGCCGGTCTCTGCCACCCTCGCGCCCCGCTCCACACTGTTTCTCCGGCTCCCTGACCCCGACAGGCGCCAGTCGGTGTCTCTTGGAATACCCGAATTGCGCCGACTTGATGGCTCGATCGGCGAGTATTCCCCACGAGAAATGTTAAAAGGTACCGTCGGTGAGCCGAATGAGGAAGACAGTGAAGGCGGGGGCACAGATGGGTATGTAAGAGTGCGAGGTTGGAAGGAGGCACCGGGGTCTCCCACGTTAGAATTGTACGACAAGGACGAGGGTGGGCTTGTAATATTTGTATTGGGGCTTGTGAAGCTGCCCGAGTTAGTAGCAGGGGAGAAGGGAAAAGGCGACTCGGAAAATGATCCTGGGGAATGGGAGAATGGTGTATTGCCCTCGGAAGTCAGATTAACCGGCCGATGAATACGCGAAGATGGCCGGGGAATCGGCACAGCATGGATTGGACGTGCTCCCGTCTGTGTCGGAACGTGCAGCACGGATGTTGCGAGCGACGATCCGTTCGTAAAGGACGACGATGAAGACCGTCTGTGCGTAGGTTGGGAATAGGGGTCTGCAGAGGCAAGACCTATTAGGTTGTCAACGGATATTCCTAGCTGTAAAGCACGAATTAAACGAGTAGATATTGTATGAGGAATGACGCACCCGACGCCTGTGTTCAATGAGTTCCTCTCTGTATACCTCGTTAAGCCGCGAAATCCGAACGTAATCCCTCTCTGTATCAACAAGCTTGTTCCGGAGCTGTTCGTTTTCCCTGCGCAAAGCTTCCAACAAGGTCTCAAGGCTGGGATCACCAGCGCTGCTACCATTCATAAATGAACGGAAGCCGATCCCTGTTTCCGGCGAGACGCTCACACTACCGTCAGACGCGTTGTTATTCTGCGCCTGTCGTAGTGCAGTCAACTCTCGAGCCAATC